GTGCTCCTGACAGCTGTTCTGGCTCTGCTCACTGCCACACACATCAGCGTGCATGCATGTGTGCATGTGTGCGTATGTGCACGTGTGTGTGCATGTGTTTCACTCAGAGAGATGTAAAAGTCAGCAAATGGGACGCCTGCTATCTTTAAGAGCCCAGTCAGACCCATCAGGTACGGTTAGGAGGCAGCTGGACATAGAGTGCCTCTGGGCCTGGCTCCTCCTGCCTCCTGCCCAGCCCGGCTCTGGCAACCGTGTGCCCCGCAGCCCCGGCCCAGCCCCAAGGTGCCCCCAGCTCCGCGCAGGAGCTTACCCCGTGCCTCCTTTCCACCACACATGTGGGCAGGGCTCAGGCCATGCTGCAGCTTCTCTGGCCGTGCACTGGGGGCAAGGGGCAGAGTCAGAAAAGAAGTTGTAGGCACTGTCCCCAGCTCGTCCAATCAGGTGCAGCTGGGGCAGCCCCGCGCCGCACAGCCCTCGGGGCAGCGACGGCGGGATCCAGTTCACATGATGAGCCCAGCCCCACGGAAGTAAGCAGCTCCCCTCCCCTCGCTGCCGACTGGGGCCCGCAGGCTGGCCCTGCCCACCTCCCCGCTGCCCTGCCGCTGCCGTGGAGCATGGAGCAGGCTCCAGGACTCCTCGCCTGTCCTGAGCGAGGGACCCCCGCAGGCTGTATGTTGGACAAGCCTGGTCTGTATGCTCTGTGAAAGGCAGCCACTGAAGGGCAACACAATTGGATACGTTTGAGGAGGTCTTGAAACTCCACCCAGCGAATGACAATGGGTCCATCTCACACTAGTCAGTACATTCCCACCCACACATTTTCCACTTCTGTCCGCTCATCATCTCTCATAAGAAAGTTGTTTCATCCTGATGTCAAGTAGGGTAGCTCTCTTTTTATAATTCAACATCCATCCATCCATTCATCCTGCCCATTACCAAAGCTGGGTGGAAATGCCTCTTCAATGCAAAATATTTTACAACATGTCCTAGTGATGGCCAGGCTCTGGGTTGGCTCCTCTGAAAGTATTACAAAGCCAGATCCCCCTGGCAGAAAGCACTTTGCCCTTAGCTCTCACATTTTGCTCTTACATGCTTTGCCCCTGAGGTGAGGGAAGGCAGCTCTCAATTATTAGTCTAGGAGTTTCTTTAAGGGATGAAGTTTCAGCTGCAATGCTGCGGAGCAGGTTTGGGGGGCTAGGCATTTGATTCTAACCAGTGCCTCCGTAAAGAATTCACTATCCTTTTCACTAACACGATTTGATGCAATAAAAACCTTTTGTTCTTCCAGGAACATTCACTGAAGGAACTTCCTTGGAGCTATCAGAAAAACACATACACTGGCCATATAAATGAAAACTTGATTAAGGAAATAATTGGTTCATGTAGAAAAAAGCCATTTGTGCTGATATGCGGCTCAGAAGCATTTAATAAAGACATGGCTACATGTTTGAAAGCAGTTGGACTTGAAGAGGATTCATATTTTGCATTTTAGCAAAATACGTTGATATAAGTATCACATGTTAACCATGCAGACCCCAACCTCAGTATGTTTATTGACCAGTTTGATTTTCTCATGCATGCATTTTCATAAGACTCTGTACAAGATATTTCATAAAGTGTCTTTACGGTAATTGCTAACAGATTGTTTTAAAATTTGTATGAACCAGCTGACTGTACAGGGTAGCTGCTACAATACTTTGTCACAGCGGGGAGAACGAAGGTTGGTGGCAGAAATACTAACTGAGAATTTCATCGAGGACCTGCAAAGTTTCTTTCACTTTTCCATGCAAGTTATCATTTCCATTTTGTAATAAAAAGCACACAGGTAAGCAACTCTGCAGAATCTGTGGCTCATTGACATATGCCGATGCCTTGAAAGTCATGTAGATCTGTTGTATCACTGTGGCCTATTGGAGACTTAATCCACAGATTACTGGTGAAGCCAATGGAGTCTGGTGACTAGGATACTGCACAGAGTCTGTTGAGACCTGGGTTTAGTTCTGCTAGTGCAGAGGTCGGCAACATTTTCTGGTGGTGGGGAAAGGGGCAGAATGACCCAGGTCAGGTTAGAGGAATGCAGGCATTAGGATCTGGTTGTGCTGCTGCTTCTCCTTGCCCTTTGACTGCAGTGCACTATGGCAAAAGCCTCCATCTGCCGAAGCCCCAAGCAGCTGACTGCGGCACAGTGCAGGGAGAGCCCTGTAATGCCAAATATCACCACAGGTGCAACTCAGCAGGCCAGATCCAAAGGCTACACAGGCTGTAGGTTGCAGACCCCTGTGCTAACGGGCCTAGTGGGTAACCTTGAAAAAGATGTGAAGAGACTGTTTCCCATCTGTGAAATGGGGAGAATGGGACTGACCTGCCCTGGAAAGCACTTTGGGATCTGTTGATGAAAAGTGCTATCTAAGAGCTAGGTATTCTGTCACTGAGGCTTGTCCCCTGGCATAGTGTTGTCTTTGCGGGTATAGTCTGCTTTGCATACTCAAATGTAAGCCCTTCATAACGTTTCCCATAGAGGAAAACTGAAGTGAGAACACGTGCGCCAAAAGTTCTAGCTAGAGGCGTCCCAGGGCAGTAACAGCACACGGGGCAGTGGTGCCGCACCAGCTATTTTGGTGCCCTCCCACCTCTAAAGATGGCATCTCAGGCTGCTGCTCTGGTCGCCCCCCACCTACACTGCTTTTAAACGTCAGTGTTGCAGGGAAGATGGTTGCTTTTTTCAGCATTCCCAAAGCTTCCTACAATCTTTTGCTTGTTATATCAAAGCTCTTTTTAAATTCTAACAGCTACAAGTATTTTTAAGTATTTAGAAGTATTTGGCCTGCTTGCCTTTTAGACAGGCAGCAGACTGCCAGCGCTGGCTCTCCATGCTACCTGGGAATATCCTGCAGTCACGTGTGGCAGGACCTCAGCACCTGCCTTCTGTCCCAGAGGTCCCAAAGATCCCGTGTGGTGATGCTCCTCAGCAGAGGGAATGCAGAAGGGAGAAAAGCCCAGTCTGTGAGAGGAAATGTCTCTACTACACTCTAAAAGGAGAAAAACCCAGCCAGTACCAGAGGGCAGTGCTGGCCCCCCATTCAGGTAGAGCACTTAAATGCATGTCTGCCTCTATATACAGTACGTAAAATCAATAGGATGACTTGTGTTCAAAATGCAGTGCACAGGTAAGTACTTGGTCGAATCAGGGTGAAAGGCAGAGAAGAGTGGAGCTGTTGAATTTTTTCTGCTGACCGGTGTGAGGTAGGGCCAGCAATTCTCCCTGGGATTCTTCAGGGACCGGACTGGACTGTCTTTGCATCTCACGCAGAGCCAGGCCCAAACCGTCACCAACAGGCTGGGGGAGATGTTAATCTCATTGAGAAAAGTTCTATCACATATCAAATTTCCTCTTGAAAAATATCACATTAGCAATAGTTACTCAATGATAGTGGTAACAGTACATCCAGGTTATAGAACGATGCTGACCTTTGTAAAGCATTTGGAGATTGCTGACAAAAACAGCCACAGAAGAGCAGGCTATTATAGTGCGGTGGGCTACAACGAGGTATTCAGTTTACCCAAGTTTACATGAGAAGTTTGGAGCTTACACAAGTTTTCAAGCACGCAAGTTTGTGTGATGCTTGGAGCATACACTCTTT